AACAGTATAAGTTTGATTTATTTGTGAAAAGAAACATTCGCGTCTTAATGCTTCCATTTGCTATAAAATAATTTTATTGGCATCTTGTCAATACATGCAAAAATGTACAGTCTGCACTATTTTAAAAAGATAATTATATATATGAATGATACTATGTACAATGAATATGACGCCTCTACCACCGCTGCAGAGTTTGGTAGAGAATCGCCAGCGGGTCTCCAGCGACACCACGTATTTCACGATTCACGAAGAAAACGCAGACCACGTGTTTTGTCGCCGAGGAGATTGAGATGGCGTGTTCAGTTGATGAGACGAATAATAATAAAATTCGAACCTTCTACACATGTCGTTGTTTACTAAAATTATACTAAGAAGCCATTGGTGTCGTAGCTCAGTCTGTAAGAGCGCTGAGCTTATAGTGTGATCGTGTTCCAAGCACTTTTATTGGAGAAAAAACACAGATATAAATATTTCAATTATAAAATATATAAAAAAAACATTGCAGTTATGTTATTTACAATTTGAGCTAAAAATTCCTATTATAACCTAAAGCTTATTTTTATTAGAAAATATATAATACACTTTTAAAAAATCTTCTAACCACGTACACGTTTCGGGCTGTTGGCCCTCGTCAGCGTGGTGCAGGCTGTTCCTTAGCGACCAAAAATTTAGTCCAAGAGGTTTCTTGAGAAATCAAAAAATGTGTAGTTAACGCCAATTTGTGTAAATACGCTAAACATATGTGAATCCACTCTAACGAGGGCCAACAGCCCTAAACGCGTTCGTGAATGGCTTTTCTTGATTTATCAAGAAAATGGGTTGGCCAAATATCAGGGAACAGGCGAAATCAACGTTTAGTTAATTTCTGTTCCACTAGATGGCGCTCTGCCATCTAAATAGCACGTGTGCTCGTGGTCAGGATATGCCTTCTTTGTTTTTGAAATATTCTGTAAAAGTGTATGACTATAAGATTCAACATATATTCGTTGAGAGGCATATGATTAGAAAATATATCAGAAAACTATGAATTTCAGGTATAAAACCCGATATTAGGATATATCAAAAGAAATTTTTAAATATTCTTTAGATCCTGGAGAAAAAAAAAACCTTAAAAATTGTACGGATATAAAGCAGAATTATATTTATAAAATAAAAAAAAACTAATTTACATACATTTCTTTTAAACTTAGGGAGTGAGAGAGAGTGTGGTAATAAAATATTTGAATAAATATGTCGTAGAGTACATTGAAGCAATTGATATATATCCTCTCAAGACGATCTATACCGGACCATCTAAATTCTTGTCGAACTGCTTTTCACATGTATAGACATGTGGTGCACTTACTGTAAAATCAGTCGCTAACTTCTTCTTTCTTATTTCCATTCAATCATATTAGGGTGTCAAGCTTGTATAAAGCTTGAGACTCTTGATGGTGTCTGTCGGGGAAGAGTAGAGCTCATCAATGGATTAGTCAATATAGTCAATAATGTGTTTTGGGGTTCCAGGTTGAGAATTATACTTAGTACATAGTAGGAAACCTTGCAACCATTCTGGAAGGTCATTTTACGTAGATGGCCAGACTTAAGTCTGGAAATCAAAGACTGTTAGTCGCTAACTACCCACCACGATTATCACGTGTACCACGTGTACTAGGGATTTAAAAAAAAAAGGGGGCGATCTCTACACCGGTTCATCTGAAACTGAAAGAGTTCAAAGTTATAAAGAGGAGGAACCCCCCGTCAAATACATTTCTCAGAACAACCGGTCTGCAATCAAGACGCCTTCAAAGTGAAGGAAAGGGCCTATTTAATTCCCCGGATAAGCATCGTGAAGTAGATTGAATATAACCGACAAGGCTGTCTGCCGTTAATAAGTCAGATTGATCTAATGGCCGCAACGTTATTTGCACAGGCTCACGTCAGCTGACCCCGTGGGTGGAGGGGTCAGAGGCTTGAGAAACTGGCTATTAAGGCGTGCAAATTGTTTCCCCACCCCCTACAACACCCAGGCTGACTGAAGGATCCAATTATACAGACCTGCTTGTTCACATTTAGGTCAGCCATCCTTTGTTAGAGCCGTCCCCTAAACGGCTTGTAAACCTCAATTGATGGAACCTCGCTGTATTCTCAATATTATTGCCTCGAATGTTTGAATGTTTCCATATTGAGATATCCTATTACATTCTGTTGTTTCTTTTTCCTCACTGAAGTTTTAATCAACCAGAATAAATGTCTTCTCTTTCCGAATCTGTGTTTCCTGAAGATAAATAAATATTTCTCTTTGGGTAGTTTTCATCCCCCCCCCCACATCAAAGCGAATTTCTACAATCACTAAGCGGATTTTTTAAAAAGACAGAAAGGATTTTAGCTCAACAATGGTGAACCTTTTAATCAGCTTCACAATTTAATCTACTAGACCGCTTCGTTTCGTGAATTTCTCACTTTGCTTTTATAGACTCTATTTAAAGGTTGATTCATAATAAATATACTGCAATTGTAGATATCGTACATATATTTTGTTTCGAGAAAATTTCTTCAGCTAAATGGACAAGTCAACAAAGACCTATTTAACCAACATGATCACATATATGTTATTAGTATTATTGTCACCATATATCATAATAAAATTTTCTATTGTTGCTGATTTATCCATTTTGTAGAGATAATAGATTAACTCGGTATTCTGAAGTATATATTGTAGTTATCTACTTCTTCACTGTGTTCTATGCACGAAAAACGATGTATATAGTCTCAACTTTTGTAAATAGATATTCTCTCCCTTTTTTTTTTTTTTATATTTTCTGAGCGAGGATTTAATTTCTTCCCCTGCTTCTCATTTCTTCTTAGATTCATTTCTAACAATAGAATCTTCTGTATAAGACGGAATGTCTTAATAAAGGCTTGTGTGTATATATATATTGTAGTTTTTTAGGTGGGTGTCTTTTGGAAATTCCGGATAAATCGAACTTTCAATCTCAATTTAAATTGTCTTGATTTGAAAATGGATTCGAGATTAGAACTGAAATTGCCTAACGTTGGCGCGTAAAAAGAATAATATAATGATAGATAAGTCATCTAGATTTAATTGTAGTGTTTTCATTCTGCTCAAACAGCTTGATTGAAGGTAGGTATTGGCGGTTAAGGAAAAAATAGTCTTTCGTAGTTGTAAAAATGTTACAAATATGTTTTCATCAAGAACACAGTTTATAAAGTACAAGACGACAAACAACCTGTTATAAAAATATTATTCTATATACAGTTACAAGCGTCATGCGTTCTTCATCTCTGTCACCGTTTGCTTTTTTTTTTTTTTGAATGGCGCTCTCCTATTGGTCCGCTACGATGGCGCCGCCACTGCGCGAGACACTTTGTTTTGACTTTGCCCCCCCACTCGCTTTTTGGTGTTTGTAACTATTGTGTTGGAGCGGGTCGCTCCTTAAATAAATGCATATATTAGTTAAAAACTAAATGGAATCCTCTCTTTCTTTTTCCCAGTAAGAGACGCCTACGGAAGCCAACAGTACATAGACAGATAAAGCACATAGGCTATAGTTATTAACCAATATATGCATTTATTTAAGGCGCCAATTTATAATTGTAACAAATAGTATTTGAATAAAAACATTCAATCGGGTAAAACACGGGCGTTAATGATCCAACAGGTCCACGTGTCTAAATTAAAACACGGGCGTTGCCCGGGTCATTCGGCTAGTTAAGTATAGCGATGGCTCGTCATTGATTTATAGTCTGTTCTTTTTCTTTCTTATCTCCACTCAATCATATTAGGGTATCAAGTTGTGATCCTTGATGGTGTCTGTTTGACAACCATCATGACTGGGTGAAATAGAATGCGTCTGCCTTTGTCATTAAGACTGGGAGCACTACTCAGTGGCAGGCCGACTTAGCTCCAAAAGAAATGGCCGCCTCTGACATGAGGAACAGACGCCATGTGCAGCCGCTCCTAACATGGAGTACAAGCGCTGCTCATCCTGTATCCCTCGATTAGGAGCCCTTACAGGGTACTATCAGCCGGGCCAGCTGAACCCAGGTTTTTTAGCGAGCTTGTTACTGCTCCCCCTCCTCCTTTTTCATCCGGGCTTGGGACCGGCAAAGGCGGAGTTTTGCTTTATAGTAATTTATGCCTAACTGGCCTTGTACTTATTGTTTGCGGAAGAGCATTGCTCAATGCAAATATTTATATTTAATTCTACTGTCCTAAAAACTTTTGTACATAGTTTTCTTGAGAACCATTTCTGAGATTCCACCCTTCAGTGTAGCATATTTAAGCTGAATTGTCCAATACAGTATTGAGTATTGGAGCTCTAAAGAAACGGTCTGATAGATTAAGTTGGCGAAGCCGCTGGGAGGGTTCACCACTGATGAGCCAAGCCCTCCCAATATTGTTTAATCGCAATAAGGACAGTAGAAGTTTGTTTTATATTTAAAAATAAACACTGGTGCTTTAATGCTTCCATTTCTTATATTTATGCCGTGAAGATATTTTACTTTAATTCCTTAGCGTATTTCTATAAAATAGATATCGACATCCCATTTTAACGATAGTCAACTTGAAAGTCCGCAATATCCCATTATACTAAAGGTTTTTAGTTGCTTTGATACTTACACACAGCGTAACAATAACAAATAATGTTTATAAAATGTGCGCTGTTTTAAAAAGGCGTAAAAAGTGATAATTTGGTGTCATTTGGCTTATATACAGCGGTTTGTTAGGTTAGATTGTCGAAACTCCTGTATGTGTTCCACGCTGTTGTCGTCTCAATAGTTTTCATCTTATTTCATGGATATTGTAGAAATTTATCTAATTTCAATTTTAAAATCACACTTTTCAAATATTTAGTTTGAATACTTCTAATTTTTGGCATATCTTGGCACAATATTTGGTTTAAAAATAACTAATGTTTTTCAGTATACAGCTGAGAGAATATGGTTTTACGGGCTACTAATCAAAGTGTATTATTTTTTAGCCCAAACTAAAAAAATGCCGGGACCCGGAATCGAACCAGGGTCTGCTAGTGTAGTGCTCTCCCAACTGAGCTATCCCGACGATATAGAACTGAAAAAATATTGCAGCAATCAATTATAAACCGAATCTTAACTACCTAAATCGACACTATATAAACGAAATTTGTTATTTTTATATAATTGAAAATTACTTCAGCAAACCTTTTTTTACTGCAAAAGGATTTGGCTTATCAGTGGTTTCGCCATATTGTTTTAATGATGTGCAAATCCTAAGGAATATCACTGGTAAGTGCACACAGTTATTGATGAGTTTAAAGTTACTGATCACGCTTAAAAGTTTTTCTCATTTCAGTGTCTGTACACATAGTTTTTGTTTATAAAAGTAGGGTTTGTTTACACTAGTGTGCAAAAGTTAGGGAATAAACAATAAACATTTTTATTTTACCGAAATTTTATTAAAGAAAAATTACCTCTATATTACATATGATCTTCTAAGGTCTAATAATAAAAGAAAGATAATACGACGTTTACTTATACTATTTTTTATTTATTAATATCTATTTCAATTATCTATATATAGAACCCACTGAATTTGAACATATTTTGATTTTTCAATTTAAAAAAATCTAACACAATAAATCATTTTCAATCCTTAACTTTGCACATCAATATAGCTTGAATTTCAGTAAATTATGCTTCAGTTTGTATATGCATGAGAGATAAAGAAATATATATTTTGAATAAAAATAGAAACCATCACCATTTGAGTGGAACTTGTCTATTTCAGAAGCTTATCTGGAAAACAAGAGTTTTGAGGTCAGAGGCGTAAAGTTCCATTCCTCTATCTATGAGATAGATAAGATAAGAATTGACACGAAATATATTTCTCATACACCAAAAAGATAAGAAATCAATTGTTTGTATTTCAACGTAGGAACTGTGACGATTAAATAAATCACCACGAGGGTTCACCACTGATGAGCCCCCACATGTTCTCTTCCATTACAACTACCTCATTGCAGTAAAGTCCGTGGATAAGTTATTCAATTCAATAAAGTAGCATCATCACACAGAGAGCGCAGTGATATTGATATTTTTAATTAGTTTTTAGGTTAGGTGAATTCCTGTAAAAGGATTTTAACTCCACTCTTCCCCCGTATCATAACAATTAAAACCAAAATACTTATCCAAAAAAACAGATCCTTGAAGCATACATAGGCACATCGCCTCAAATGCTTTCACTTATTTCTGATTTTCGTAAAGATAGAGGCTGCCTGGCCGGCATTCATAGTTCTTCAAATTAAAGATACTTCGGCCAGTAAATATTTTTATTATCCGGCTCTGCGAATCAAAGATCCATTTGGATACGTTTTCTTCATCTGTTTGCATCACCATGAAGACCTTATTTGAAAAAAAAAAAACTTAAAATATTTCACCTTGAAATACCTTTCAAGTTAAAAAAGAATCATAATGGCGTTATTCTATTTCTAGATATATTAGTTCTAAAACTCCTTCCCGATACACCACAATAGTCTTCTTTAAAAATAACTCCATACCTTCATATATTCCTTACACTTACTTTTGGCCCCTCAGCCACAAGATCAACGTTGTCCGAACCCTCGCTAAGCGTCTTCACACACATTGTTCCTTACCACTTGCACACAAATAATTAGAACAGTCAAACATTGTTCGTCACCTCAGTTCATCTGAATGTCATTTATTAACAGATACACCCTGGTCTACCTCACACCTCCACTGCCTATAAAACATATTGTATTCTTCCATATTATTTTGTAGCAAATTAAAACATTATAATACGCGTATGTTTCTTTCACACATAAATCAAATTTCTTCTGTCCTTACTGCGATGAAAAAAATTGGGAGGGCTTGGTTCATCAGTGGTGAACCCTCCCAGCGGTTTCGCCAATTTTTTTTTAATCTACCAGACCGCTTCTTTAGAACTCTAATACTGTATTGGATCATTCTGCTTATATATGATACATTGAAGGGTGGAATCTTATAAATGGTATTTAAGAAAACTATGGACATAAGCTTTTAGGACAGTAAAATTGCATATAAATATTTGCATCGAGCAATGCTCTTCCGCAAACAATAAGAACAAGGTCAGTTAGGTATAAATTAATATAAAGCAGTAAGGACAATAAAAATGTATGTGTGAAACGCGTCTTATAGTGTTTTAATTTGCTATACATATAGAGGGCGCGTTATTGCTTTATATTATTTTGTCTCCCATTCCATATCAGAAAAGATCCGAGAATTTTGTATCGTCCCCTTCTTCTACAATTCTCCCAACCTAGGCACAAAACTCAGGCATACTATTTCAAAAGCCCCCACCACGTCCGACACCTTATCCAAAACCAACGCCGTTTACAGAGTTATTTTCTCACAATACAACGCTGTTTATGTAGGTGAGACCAGTCGTACAACAGGCATCCGTTTAACCGAACATCAAAGATGCGTCAGAAACATCGACAATATATCTCAAATCTTCCAACATGTTAATTCCACAGGACACTAATTCAACTTTACCCAAGCCACCTCCTAACTATGTAAACATGAAAAAAATAAAACAAATGCCAATTCTTAATATTAGAGGCAATGGTGTCGATAAAAATTGGTAGCATTGATAGAACCAGCGAACTGACAGACCAATATATTCCTTTCATAGTTAAAACATAGTTCATAGAATAACTGTCACAATACCCAACTCAATCCGGACCACATATACAGTTGCCCGGCCATCCTTGCAGCCTATATGGCAGACATCAATACAGAAGAGGATATCCATACGGTCAAGGCATCTCATTTGGACGGTATTGTGATAAGGGTACATGGACCGATCTGATCTGCTCCATGGACAAGACACCACCACCACATAGTTCATAGTGTTTAATATCTATGCCCTCTCGTTTATGGGTCACAGTCTTCATTGATTTTATTTACATATCTAAATAGCAAATCTTGTACAATTTTCCTCCATAGTTGATTTTCTATTAGATACTGTTTTATGGGGGAATATATATATATACTTCTATATATTCGAATATATATTTTCTGTCGTTCATATTTCTTTAGGTACAAAACTTTCAATGAATATATGTATATGTGTAGATATGTATATAGATAACAATTTATTCTCTTATACGTTCTTATTTTTATTCCTGTTGAAGGGCATAAATGCTCTAAAGCTCGTATAGATAAATAACAAACCCTACATGAGACTCTTCCTTTACGATTTTGTTCTTTATTTGATGATAGACTTTACTCCAGATGATTATTCAACTTATAGAAACTATTTAAGAAATTATAATTTTCAGACCTTTTTTAGAAAAATTATCCCATCGTATAATTATACAAGGTCATGGAGACTATATTCATAGATCAAATTAGTCCATAAGTCTCCATGATAGGTAAAAAGAGCTGCTGTCGTTGGTTGGTTATCCACCACATGGCAGTCAGACTTTACACCCCCAGACCATTTTAAGAGTAATTGGAGAAATTCTAAATACATTTTTTCCCACTTGGCATATAGTTTGTATACATTTCATAAATAAAATCCACTGACAACTAGCAACAATCCTTTGAAATATTTTACATTTTACTCTTCCCTACATATCTAAATGTGCCTCTCTCTTTTATTATCCTTAGATTCAATGGTCCGCGCTATTCAACAAACCTTGGTGTTTTCCGAGGCATCATTTCACAAAGATATATATTTATAATGTTGTCCGAAGGTTCGTGTTTTTCTTAAAACGTTGTTTTTCTTATAACTTGGCGAATAATATTATTATACGGCTTAAACATAATAATACATAATACAATTACTTTATGCATAATACAAATACATTATACATAACGGCAAATAATATTGGTATTTAAATGTTAAGCAAGTGTTTCCGAACTTTTAGGACAACCTTGTAAAAACCAATATGACATCAGTCTCTCGTAATAAGGAGAATTCACATGGATCTGTAAGACGATGGCAGGGTTATTACATGGCTCTTGGTGACAAGAACCATTTATAAGCAATTATTCCAAGCATATCGGTTCCAAGGCTGGAGTCCATTGTTCTAATGGCAAGCCTAATGAGACCCTCTTTATTTGATGATGGAAACAAGAGGTTTCCTCTTTAAATATGACAGCACCCAATTACACCAGCCGTGTTGGACAGCCAAGGCCGTTGCTGTTTCAATTGGCCCTTTACATTGTTATTATTTCGATTTATAATTATATCGCCATTGTTGTTTCAGAATGGAAGGACAAAACATTTGTTAAAATAGATTTTTTATTTATTTATTGAGCTCTAAGTTTTGTCTAGACAAATAGATAGCGTTTGGTAGGGTGAAATCAAAATGTTTTCACTTAGTTCTCCGAATTCTTGTTACTCAACATATATATACCAGGCTATTTCAAAAGTTCGTTCCCATTAATGAGATTTTAATACACATTTAATAATATATAAACAAAAATATGTATTCATTGAAGTAAGGACCGCCATTTTCAATGACAGCCAGCCATCCTTTTGCCAGGTTTTCAATTTGCTGACGATACCATTCTCGGAGTTTGGAGCCGAAAAAGTCACGATAGGCAATTTCGACGTCTTGGAATGTTTCAAGTATAAGCAGGGTGAGATAGAACTTCAATACCCTTCAAATCCTTTATTCTATTCGTTATTAGCCTAGCTCGAAGAGCTGGATCGTTGTCATGTTGCAGGAGTACTTTCTTTCGGTTGATCAAAGCAGGGTATCGAGTCTTCAAAACTTCATATACTTGGCTGAGTTGTTCTGAGTAGAGATAGACATTAACTGTGTATAAACCATTTACATTACCAGTGGTAACCAGAGCCTCGTTTAGTTACACTCTCCAGTAGGTTTGGACTTGTCTCAGGCAGTGATCATTGAAGCGGTTTATTTTTTTAAAACGCATTCGCACCTCGGGATTTTCCCAAAGTACGAAAGTACAGTTTCCTCCATGCGCTAGCATTCTTTAAAAGCGCAAGCGCCAAATTTTACAATGAAATTCATGGAATTTTTTTTAATTAGCAGCGATTTCAGTGAGTGA